GACTTCACGATTACACCGACGGGCTAGTTAGACTGGACCTTTGTGGAAACCACTGGAAAAAATCAGGCGTGTTTCCCGAAGGAAGACACCTTTTAACGCCGTAGTGGGTTCTGTCTTCAAAGACGCAAACCATTTCAGTTGTAGTAAAAAACAGTTATCTTCTATAGTATGCCGCATAGCTCTTCTCAGTAGCTATAAGTGCTCTGCTCGCATATGCTATCACTTCAATACGTGTGTCATCTGGCTCTGTTAGCGTAACACCGATTCAATGTGGGCTTGTATACCTGGATATCCTTTTCTTCTTTAGTGGTTCAAAGTAAGCAATGGTTTAGGTGTCTGAAAAAAGACTCATTAGAAAGTTGAAGACTCCAGTCGCTCAGTCTACTCCAAAGCCTCATTATTGGGTGCTTCTGCCGTTGCACCTTGGCTTGTTGCCGCTGTTCTTACAGCGCCTGTGTACTGCGAGTACAAATTTGTTGTAGTCGGAGTACTGTTAGGTTTCTAAAACTTGTTTTATGCCCTTCAACATTTGTTCTTGCTTCAGGGTGTGTGACATGATTTGGCTCTTGGCTCTTTATTTTAAGCTTTGCATCAGCAAACTTGCAAACTCCATGATGCAGAGTGCATGAGGAAATCCAAAGGTTTCAAATGCCGTGCTGATTACAAGTCCAAGAGAGCATCGAGTTTTGCATTGGCCGTGTCGTATTACGACGTTGATGTTCTCAGCGCGCCTTGAATGGCGCTGCCAAAAGTCGGCGTTGGTGAGGTTTTGTCGGGGTGTGATTGGAATATGTCATGGATTTCCTTTCTCGCGTAGCAAAGAAGAACCTTCTTGAGCGCGTCTTTAATGATACTGTACGCCACAAACTAGGTCCTCCAACGTTTTTTACCGATTTCGCCCCCTACAGGTTGATATTATCGGTGACTCGTGCGTGAAGGTTAAAGCTCAAAAATAGCTGAAATAAGTGGCCATGCTGTACCTGCTTGAGCGCCCTTTTGCTTGATGCTGGCGTTATTTCAACGATGCTGTCATTGACGATGTTGACGGACATTATGGTAAATTAGAAATTTCTTCTGACCCCACCGTAGTGTTTTATTGGGTTGCAATAGATTGGAACAGATATCGATGTTTAAAATAAAATGTTGTCTTTATTTCACCATTGCTCTACACACACAGATCCTAGAAACCCATCGTTGCGAGCTGCGTCTTGGTAGTCGGATAAAGTAAAAAACAAGCTGGACTTTAAATTAGCTTCTCACTATATAACAAAAAGCAAATTGTTTTATTTAGTATGTTGAGGTAACAACTAATTGCAATTATGTTGTGCGTATATATAAAAGAAAACGGGAAGTCAGTCAGCATCAGTGGGTCTAGTGTCTCTGCTGTAGATGAGAAATCTTGCCAGTGCAGTGCGACCCTTTGTTTGGGGTTCTTAACGTGCATCCTGGAGTATTGTTACAAATGTAGGAGCGACGCAACGCATTCCTTACACGAGTAACGGACTTGACGCGATGTTCCAGTATCGACTGTGGCATATTCACACCTGCCAACCTGTGGACTTTCAAATTCGTAAAAGTCGCGCGGCTGCGGCGGGGAAGGGGGGGAAGGGGTTACGCGAAGCGATGTGCAGCTTAATGTCAGCCTGGCCACCGTGCGAAACGCTTACATCACACGTGCACGTGCTACACAATCCAAACTTCTGTCGCTTTTTTGGTGGCACGAAGCACGGAAACTTCGACGTGTAGGACTTCAGGAACACCTGAAAGTACCTCTTTTGAGGTTTCGAGTTCGGCATTGCGCCGCGAAGCCACAGTGACCAGGAGAATGGTACAGTTACACGTGCAACAAACACAGACGCCGTACTTCTCGCCTCAAACTGGCCGAAACAACGAGGCCCAACAACGTCTGAACACGACGAACCAACGTGCACCTGTGCACCGCCGAACACACGAACAAAGGCTTTGAGCTTTGGATTGGTTTTCGATACGTGGCCACCGGATAAACGGATAGTAAAAACCACGACGCTGCTGTGGACGGTACCTATCGCCCTCTTGTGGCGGTGCAAGATACCACCAACAACGGAGTTACAAAAAAAAATATATTTAAAATATATATATATATTTTTTTTCTAAGATTTGAAGCAAGATTCGTAAAATTAGTCCCAATTCGTACATTTTACGAAAAATTCGGAAGAGTTGGGAGGTATGCATATTCTCTTTCGAGGTTTAGTATAAGTGAAACATGAGGGGTCAGCTGCAATATTATAAACTAGAAACGTAGATACGAGAAAAAAACATTTGCATTTACTAAAAATCTGAGTATAAATTTGAGGTCGAAATGCCGATTGACCGCGCGTTCTTAAGACGTCAATATTTCTTTAGAATAACATAAGAACGAGAAAATAGAATTCGCATTCAAATTTTGCTTGTTCGTCGATTGAAAAAAAGAAAAAACGCACAAAATCAGGGACATATAAAGTGGAAGATATACTTCAAATAGGTTCGAAGATAGCACGGTTTTCGAAAATGGTTGATTTCGCATGTTTCGTTATTTGCCAGAACAAATGTCCAACACTATTTTATGGCATGCGTGGAGGCTCACCAACAACCCACTTTGCGAAAAATGTGTTCCAAATATTTGATAAATTTGTACTTAAGTGTGAGTCTGTGCTGTCTAATTTTACCGATTTATCTGGTCCTAAATAAAACCTCAACATTTTAGCAGCTCCAGAGCTCATTCTGCAAGCTCCTGTCTGTCAGGCCCACGTAGTCTCTGGAGGTCAAATACACGTGTTAAGTGCCGAATACCTGCTTTGCCTAGCAGTAGACATCTGCGCCACCGTGCCGATGCGCCACCACGAAGTCGTGACAGGCACGTCACCGCGTGCTTAAATCTCAGTCAAAACCAAAGCAACTCGAGAAGGAGGCAACGAGGTCAGTCAGTGGTCGAGGCAGCCAGCAGCGTTTATACTTCATTCTCTTTACGATTGACCGCAGCGGACGTTCCGGGTCACACTGTAGGCAATCCAGCATTTTAGGTGCACCACGGGAGCGTGCCTAGCGCATCGCCCTACATGACCCTCCCGGTTCTCAAAAGGACACATTACTTTTTTTTAATTGCTTTGTGCATGAACTCTTACGCCACATTGAGCTGGCTCTAATGACTTGTGTCGTCCGGTGCAATCCATTTTACGATGAAGTGTAGTACAACCCTATCGTCCGCTTGTTTGTTTCACACTCGCGCACGATCTGCCGCTTCGCCAGGAGCATAAGCCGCTTTTACGTGAATGCATCGACTCCAGTCGCCAGTGGAATGGAGTCGACACGTCAACATTCTAACGGATGTGCATCACATCCTAAGCGAAAATGGAGCCACGATTTTCACATCTCAAAGCTAAAGCCGCGTGCCCCGGAACCAGCCGTTGCAAGTGACTATGTTTTCGGGTGCTTTCTCTTCGCGTGCGGACGCTCTTTTGACGACCGTAAAGATCGTGCCCGCTGACTTCGATGTTGTGCAAATTACATTACGCGAAACATTCCAACTGAAGCGTTTTATGCACCGGGACGGGCCGCTCTGGAAGCGAGTTTACGTGGGTGCGCTCACCATGGCAGGCTAAATCGCTTCCAACCGCTCGGCGGACGCCGCCGCGTTTCGCCTCGCCATACCAACCCAACTACGACCGGAAACCGAGACCCAGAGGCTCCGGCCCATTCAGGAACTGCGCCGAGGTAGGAGCTGCTCGTTCTGTAGTACAAGTGAGTGCTCGGAGCTCTCGGAGTCGTTTGCGCTTGCGCCGGAGCCTCTACGGACTTCCTCAAGGCGCAAGTGGTGATTCGCAAAGCTTGGTTCAGGGCCGCCATCACCGAGCAGCTCAGGTATATTCCTTTCACTTATGAAGGCAAGGCAATAAAAGTTGGCGTTTCTTCTAGGACGAAAAGTGCGGGCGACCACACGGGACTCTTTCCATCGCCGCCGCCATGTTCTCAGCTGTTCACTCACTCCCGCAGCGGGCGCCTTCCCATAATCATCCCTGTTCCGAAATTGGATGCGACCTCCGTTTACATGCGCATTCGCAATCTTCATCCGCCTCCGTCTAGTGACGTGAATGCGATGTGCTTCCATATCGTATTATGCCGTTTACATGACCGCATTCAATGCGACAACTGGAGGCGATGGGACTAAGTCGAATTCATATAAACGCAGCTATAGACACAGTGTGCCAATGGAAGCTTGGCGGAGCGGCTAGCGACGAGGCGTAATTGAGCTTCTTGCCGCTCACTCTCGTTGGCCACGAGTTCCCATCACGTTGGTGAGCGCCATAAGGTCCAATGCCCTTCACAGCGGCCACTCTGTGAGCAACCTTTCGAGCCGCTTGAAAATCCGTCCCTAGGGGAGCGAGAACGAAACTCGAGTAGCCGTGCTCCGGTCTTCAAGGTTCACTGGGTCTTCGAGATGAACCTACAGGCGCTTAACGCTTGAATTTGGAGCTTTAGTATTCTGATTTTGGCACTGATCATAGTTGGTAAATATTCATAGTTTAAAAACCGAAAAAATTAAATGTAATCTTTCGTTGGATGTTGGTGGATTATTTAGCTTTCCTAATTATATTCTGTTTTATTTTTTGCTTCTCAGATAGGTGATTGGTCCATATTTCTGTAGGTTGGGTGCGAGAATGATATTTAAAGTTGAAAGTAATAAAAAATAAAGAAATCTATTTACGTTGTCTAGCTTTAGATAAACTTGAAGAAGACTAAAGTTATCAATTATGTCTATTTTTAAAAGCTTCTAAACTTTTTCTAATCATCCAGATTTGAAAAATTCCTGTTTTTAGACAGTTTTTAAGAAACAGCGTACCCTGAACAAAATGCAGCAAGCATGAGCAAATGAAAATTCGCTTGGTAGACTCGTAAACCTTCACGGCGTCTAAAGGAATCCAACAAAGCAGCATCTCACGAATTTCTCTATAATCAAATATGAAGTAACTAACTCCAACACTTACTTTGTTAACAGAAGAACAGCATCGTATGGTGCGTATTGTGTTTTTTGTACTTCCAGTTGAAAGCTAATAAGCGTAGCTTTCACTTCGAGGTAGGTAGTGTTTTGATAAGTTACGTATTTATACAATTCCTTTCTTAGTTTTTTCTAGAAAGTAAAATAAATAAGATTAGAACGTATATTTAGGGGACTAGGAAGGCAGAAGCGTATTCATATGACGGCTTTTGAGCAATTTTATAAATCTAAAGGGATTCTTTTTTAATTTAAAAAAACGCCCCTTCATATAAAGTCGTGATCTCCGTTCTAGAATCCGTCAAAACATATATTTTAAAGGGTGTTTACACATGTACTAAGAAATCATTTTATTAAACGAAACAAAAAGGTGTTATTGTACAGTGCTCCTCAAGCTTAACGACGCCGGCCGGGTACCCAACTATTGCTCTGATCCGAGCTGCTCAAAGCTAGATTTGTGACCAAAGCCCTCCACAAGCTGGGGCGTGATTAGGGAGTCAAAACTTTACCTCGTGGTTTGGCGGGTGGGCCCAGGAATAGTATAACAAAACCTCTAAAACGAGATATTTATGACCCATTTTTTTCAGGTTTTGTGCTGTTCAAACTTTTGATATAAGGAAGTAGTTAGGCATAAAATACGAATAAGAAAGTATTTATACAGTTCTCACACTTTCTGGTCTACATCTTTTCGTCATTTGCCATCGGCGACATTTTGACCACGAGGTCAAGAAAGAGAAAACACCTGCTGCTGCAAGGATTTCAGTCAATACGTCAAAATGCACACTCAACCTCCCAAACATATTTAAGTACCGGGATAGAACACGTATTCTGTAAAAGTAACCGTTCCTAACAAAATAATATTTCAATGCACTTAGGTTACGAGGCATGATTTTAGTTGATAGCTGAACCAAAAAACTATTATATTTTGAGTCCTTGATTCCAAAATAACCGCATGTTTCCTAATTCAAAACTATTCTCAAGAAGCAAATATGGCGTTATTTGTTTTTCCGGGTGTTAGTCATTTTTATCATGTGTGCCTTACCCAGGCACTTGAAAGTTAAAATGCGTTTGGATATTTATGCATTAGATTTATGCATAAAAATGTATAATTTTATGATATTTACGCGTTAAATGCATAAATGCCGCACCTTTATCAGTCAAATGTATTTCAAAGGTATGTGCATCATCTTGTGCAAGCCTTCGTGGAAAAGGTTGGAAGCTGGAAAAGCTTGACAAACATGTCGTATGTTAATGCGATGAATGTCGCGTCAGCGACGCGTTAATTACGCTCTTGCTGAATGTGGTAGGAGAATACAAACGGCCAGCCCCAGTAAGAGCTAATATGCAGGTCTGCTCATTTTGTGAGTGCCCTGTTTCTGTCTTTTTTGTTTTGTTTTTACGTTCAATATGCTAAACAGTGATATTGCGAGGAGTGCCCAGAATTTTATTTGTCTTAATGTAAATAGTAAATGAATCACAATGTAAAATGTGTTTATTTTTAATGTGTAAATGCAATAGAAAAATACATTTCTTATATTATATTTGAATACGAAATGCAAATTATTAAATGTATCATATAAACGTGTAGTATTTTTTTGCATTCTCTGTCCTTAATGGCATTGTGCATAAGACTTGCTCGAGAACGGCATCATACAACTTTATAGGATGCATAAAATTCCTAGTTAGTGTTTCCCGCTTTGTTAAAGTAGGTGCATTAGGAGAGTTTATATATTACTAGAGGTTTAACAACTAAAATGTAAGGCGAAAATAAAACTTCGTACAATTAAATATTAAGTTAACGACGCGTAAGAGTTCGAAAAAGCGAGCAATAATATTAAGAGGTCACAGAATAAATAAATATGAGCTATCTTACCTATATATATATATATATATATATATATATATATATATATATATATATATATATATTAATTACGAGGACATTAGTAAGAGCTTCAATTGTAGAATCTGCCTAAATGCTCCCAATTTAGTAACCCCGCACCATGCGACACGAATGGCAAATAAAAAATCAAGGGACATGAGTTTACTTTTCAATTTCAGTCTTACACTCTTGCATTTTATGTACGGGGCGGGTCCGGGTGTAAACTCGGACCCGCGTTGTAAACAAAAAACTAATGCACTATTGTTTCACTCCAACTTTATACTAATACTGCATATCCTGATTTACGTTTATTGGATCCTATCTCATTTTAGAAATCTGTCATATTGCGAGAATAGCATATGAAAATGTCTGAGACATTCACATCCAGATCAGCGTAGCCAAGGAACCACCGACCAATAAGGTCATGTTTAAAAAGCAAAAACAAACAATAATTATTGTTTGTTCACTACATGCACTAATATGTCGTTGGTGAAACCTTTTCAAGGCACTTATGAAGGATGAGGCTTTTTCTTGTCATAAACAAGAGAAACTCTTTCGGGCAGTTTGCCGAGCCTTTAGTTTTCAATCGTATGACGCCACTTTCTCTGGTCTCGTAAAAACAAAAAGCGGGAACGTTGATTCTTCTGCATCGAGGATTGACTTCGATCAACAAACCTTTTCTTCTTTCCGAACATACCAAGCGTGCTCACCTACTGTCAACACGAGACTGCGTGTCTCCTTTTCAGAGATTGTAGTTTTGGTGTTGGAGTGATGAGGAAGACCAATGTCGCATCACCAGTCCTAATAGAACTTAAATCCCAAATCGCCTTTTTCTCCATCCCTTCACATAAAGTTCCAAATAAAAAAAAAGCGAACTTCGCTTAGATCTGTTCAATCACATTTTTTGCAATCGATGGGGAACAGAATTTGTGCTATGGTAGTTTTCCGTAACGATTCTATCACAAAAAAATTCAAGGGCTTGGTTTGTGGGATGTAGAATTTGAATCACTCTACTTTTTTTTTTGTGAACGGACTATTGTTTTCGTATTATATACGAGTTCCATTATATACAATTACCACTCATTAATTTTATTTATAAACTTTAGCTGATTTGCCGATTCATCACACGGGTGATCTGATATTTGTGACTCAAAAACCTCTATCTCAAACAGTCTGCGGAACATTTTGTTTACATCGACTTAAAGCAGATTACGAACAGTGAACCTGACGACCATCTTAAGAAATAGAGTCAGGCTTTTTATGACTATCTCAAGATGGGAAGGAACATAACTGCGCATCTGCGACTTTGCAACAAATACTTCCATGGGACTTGTGCGCGAATGAATGGTACTTACTTTCGGAACTCGTCTCATATATCTGGTCATAGATTACTTTTATTGAAAATTACAAGCTCAATATATGGTCAGGCTTGTCAAGTTAGATACTGCACTAAAAGGGTTTCTGGTATTTATGAAGGAGACAACCGCTACATTAGATATACTACAATTACAGGTAACTGTAGAGCATATAAGGCAAACATTCGTGAACCGTACAATATGAAGAAGAAAGCTCTCCTTACTCACCGACAACATTTGAATAGCGCATAACCTTGCTATCAATTTTGGGTTGTCCATTGATGAATACCGTATGTTGACCTTCCAAAGAGTGACGGGAAATAAAAAAGTTGAATTGTATTATCTCGCTTCGCATATCGCACGTATAGTAATTAACTAGCACATATTCTTATATATTTATTTAAAGCGTAGAGAATGACGACCAGTTTCATTTTTGTGTCTGCTTGATTGCAAAATTCGTTAAACTCATATATATATATATATTTGTGTGTGTGTGTGTGTGGTGATTTCGTATCAAGTCGTGCAGGCAAAAAGGGTCAAATTTTTTATTTTTCTGAAAAAAATATATGTTATGGCGTTGTCTAGAAAAGCGGTTGCCACAAACCGCAAGTTTGTCGGTTTTTTTGTTCTCGACTTACGAATTTTAAAAGAGACCGCGGCGGAAAGCAGTGTTTTTCACATCCGTTGTGGGTCGGATGTTTCGCTCGATCTCCCGCCATAGATTTTCAGTCTACATTATATTAACTTTTTTCAAGCACTCTGTGAACAAAGGTAAAAGGCTCTAATGCCATGAAAGAACTTTAGGCGTTTTGCTTTTTTGCTGTAAAATGTCAAATACGTCCCCTCGGTTAATCGTTGCTGAGCTTTGACAATTAAATACTGGCGATCTACTTGGGTTACGCCGATATTTTTTGTGTCTATAAAGAGCCCAAAGCATGGTCTTTATATATATTTTAAAATCGCTTAGTTGCAAGAAATTTCCTTTGCGGTACGTTTACGTCAGTGTTATGCTGAAACCAAAAAGTACCGATTTTGAAATTGATTTTCTAAGAAAAAAACTTTTTTATATTATTTATTTTTGTTACAATGTAGATATGATAGATGTATGCTCGAAAAGCAAGTCGAGGAAGTGTGTATTTTGTTTGTATGTTCTATATAATTAGCCCTCTATGGACAGCAGCCAGAACGAAGAGTATATATGATATAATTTTTGTGCTGTTGTTTGTTACAGCGTGACTTAGAAAGTTACTACGTGTTGCATCGCGAACCAATCGGCGCGTGCCGTGTGATACCATTATCTGTATATAAGCGCCGCTTCTTGAATAAGGCCACGCTCTTGTCTGTGAAATGCTTTCCTGAATAGTTAGTACATTGGCGACGAGGCTGTCAGAGCGCCGCGCAGGCACACGGAATGCACGAAGTACAATGGCGGACAATATGAGCTGAAACAGCGCTCCGGCCGGCGCACGGTACTACCTGCGCCGCCTGTCGCCTTGCTGGGCACACAAAGCACACCGTGAGGCCGAGATAAATTCTAACTTGCGCTCCGAGCTCTACTACGCCCTTCCGGCCGTCTGCTAATGAGACGGCGTGTGCGACAGCGGGCATATGTGTGGTAGGGCGGCAGGCAGGAAGGGGGGCGGAGGAACGACAGAAGATTACAGGTGTCCTCCCTTCTTTTGCAATTGAAGTACTTCATTCTATCGCGTAGAACCGAGTAGAAAACACGCTGACTAAAGAAGAAAAAATGTTGCGGTATCTTAGATTGCAGCTGCGAGTATCGTTTTTGAAAGTCACATCACAAGACGTTGCAGGTTGTTTTTATTTTATTAAGTACATGCACAAAGGAGGACATTGTATAATATAGGCAAAAATTTGTATACCGGATTTACGCCGTCTCCAAGGTATTTCCTTCTTTTTTCTGTTTTATTAGCAAAACTGTTAAAGAAAGTGAAAGCCGTTTACAACTCCCTGTAATGCCGAATTGGAGCGCAGCTCTTGAGGAGGAGGAGGGAAGGGTACTGAGGGGAGAGTAGACCCCTCCTCCTCCTCCTTCTTCTCCTCCTCCGCTCATTCTTTAATATGCTCCGGGGGGTCACCTGACCTCGGGGGAGGGGGTCACGTGACCTTGGGGGGTCACGGGGGGTCACCTTGGGGGTCACGTGACTTTGGGGTGACCTTGGGGGGTCACGTGACCTCGGGGGTCACGTGACCTTGGGGTGACTTTCCCAGGTCCTTGGGGGGTCACGTGACCTTGGTTACGCCGTCGGCGACGGCGACGCCGCTCAAGCCGGAAGCGGGCGCCAAAGAGCTGCGCTCTAAGAGGTAACCATACATCTCACTGCGAAGGTTTTGTAACCTTGATTGGAATAAAAAGTTTCATAGATATTATTTCATTATTACTGGGCCCACGTGTTTCTTTCAAACAAAAAAGTTGCTGACGAGACGCCAGTGTTTTATTTATAAATTTCCAGTCTTAACAAAGCGTGACAAACAGGTTATATTTGCAATGAGAAATAGCTTGAAACTTCATCGAAAGAATATTCACACAGGACAACGTCAGACAGAAAAGATTAGAGGTGGGCGTGGAAGTTCAACTGCACTATACAAGAAGATTGGGTTCAACTATGCACAACACAAACGTATGCGGCGGTTAACGGCGTCAAACATTGTGTCGCAACCGTAGCAGCAAGCTTTGTTCCAATCGGCAGAAGTCCGGTTCAAGAGGTCCTGAGGCGCAGTAAAACTTACAAAAGAAGTTAATACCGAGTCATTCTCCCCTGACACGCGACCACGGCTTTCATCCTCTCTGGTAAGGAATCATAGAGCGCGGTCACGAAGTCTGGCTCGGTTTAAAGCCTCTCCCATTCACATCTCACCGCTTCCCACAATTCCTCGGTAGTGGCGCGGTGGAGGGTTCGCGGTGACAAGGCTATCTTGATGCGCCTCCAAACGTGTTCGATGATATTGTCAGGGGTGGTGACCAAAAAAACAATAAAGAAACAGGATGAAATAAACGTTAATGTGGCGAACTTGTGCCAAAAATAAAAGGGAACAAAAGAGAACAGCAGAGCGTCGCGGGCGTCGATGTCGGCGAAACCGCAGGATCGAGCGCAGGGGCGAGACTGACTCGACAATGTCGCGGGCGGCATCTTATCTAGAGTGAGTCACTATCTCGAAGATTCGGCGGAGAAGGTTCGAGCGTAGCGCTCGGGGCGAGAATGAACACGCACTTTCTAGAACAACAAAAGGAGGGACAAACGATAGAAGTTATGCTCGGAGCAAGAATAAACGAGAAAGTTCTAGAAGTCCGTGACCCTGCGCGCGGCAATATTCAGATCGTTTCCTTTTGGGGGCCAAGACAGCCCCGTCAGGCAGGGCTCCTCAAGAAGATACGAGCGTGACAACGGATTTTCCACTTCGGCGCTTCTTGAAATTCACTGAAATGCATGTTAGCCGAAAACATACACATTGGACTGCACGGCACACGAATCGTGATGGTGGCTCCGTCGGCCCATATTTTCGCTAGTGACGGGCGGAAGAGCGCAGCGGCGCAGTGAACGCAAGCGATAATTTATCTCGGGCTCATTGTGCGTCGTGATTGCGGAGCGATGCGACAGGTGGCGTAGGTAGTACCGTGCACATAGAGTAACTGTATAGACCTTTTCATCCTCCTCCGCATGGGCGCTGCCATCTTGGAATCACGTGACGCGGCAGCCATTAGGTTGCTTCAAGTTGCTGCTCCGCTCTCCCCTCCGCGCCTTGGCGGATGCGTTAAATTCGTGTTTTTCGTAGCGTTTCACCGCGCTTGCTTGCCTTACTTCTGAAACTGTAGTCCGATACGTCTACTCGACGACTCCTGAGGTTTGTTTACTAATAGTGGCGGAACATTCTCAGTAAGAAGCGCGTATATTTATATCGCGTATTTAGGATCGGAAGGCGTCAAGAATAGTCAGCACAAGGAGACTATCTTTATTCCCTAAAAGTATCTTTTTTTTTTTTGTATTTATAATGTATCGAAAACAGTTTCTTTTGATTATGTGAGGAAATTCGCGGAGGAGATAGACAACGAACGTTTAATTGGTATTTTATCTGAGGCTGAAAGTAAAGGTACGTCAACATCAAGCGATTTGTTTGTTCATAATATGATCACACCTACATGTGTATGAGGTTCTCAATCTCTTTTTTTGCCACGTAAACATTCGGTTGGTCGATTTACTTATGAAGTTTAAGAAATTGTATACCATGCTCGCTCCCATTTCGACAGTCATTTAAATGATTTATTGATTACATTTAGATAACCAATGCCCTCCTCTTAATTTACTTAACACAAAGTTTGGGGCCTCCCACGTAAGAAACTGCCGCGTACACTTAACAGTAGCGAGTTTTAGAATAGCGCGCACGAAGAAATAACGTCGTTTCTATTTGCAAATCCAAAACGCGGTTTGGGTTCGGCGCGGGCGCAATAATGACCACGCTTTTTTTTGCTTACGTTGTTTTATCTTTTGCCAGTATCTAAAATTTGCAATCATTGACGCCCCTCCCCCCCCCCCCCTCCCCCCACCCCTCCCTCCTCCGGAAAAAAAAAAGAGCCGTTTGCATAGCAGCTATTGGAGTTCAGGATTGTCGATGGCGAATAGAGGTTCACTTTTTTGTGGCTGGCTACGCCGAAATTTATAAAGCGAATTTGTTCTAAGAAATAAATATTTGTTCACACAGGTCCGTGAAGTGGTGCCTAGAGCTAGAATTCAGCCAAATTTTCCGAGGTATTTCTCCTCCTGCGCCCTTTAATTTTATTTGGCCAATTTTACGGAAGACAATTGCCAGATTTAATTTGACGGGCCTGTCACTTATATCATATCCCGAGTAAGCAAATGTTCATATAAAAAAATGTAATTCCTAGGGCAAATATCGCCAAATGCTGCTTATGAGTGCTTTGATTTAAGAAAATTCCTACTCAGCCTGTCAAAACATGCTCGAGTACTAAATTTAAAAAAAAGAGGCCGACACGATATTATTTGTTTATATCAATTATCTGCGTCATTACACGATACGTTTTTATTCTGCGAAGTTCACTAAAGGTTGGGTGCCCACGAAAACCAGATAGTGAGTTTTAAACTCGCGAGTTTATCTGTTCTGACCGACTCAGAACATCGCTAATCAAGCTGTTGATATGCTTGCGCCCTTTACATTCACATGCTACTCTTTCATTAGTTTGTTTTTCTGGGAACTGGTGTCATCGGGTACGGCCATACACGATGGTAATCTTTCCTGTACATCAGTCAGGCCTTTCGCAGCCG